TGGGGGGCTGCAGCGCCCCCCGGCCCGGCAAGAGGGGCCGGATGGCGCGGGCTGTGCCGGGACCCTCCGCGGGCTGCTGGCTTCGCCCAGCATCGCTGCCCCCGGCCGCTTCCTTCCCTCGCGGAGCGGGCAGGGGGCTGAGCCTTGCTGGGCTTCGTTCAGCCTCGCGCAGCTCCGTGCACGTAGCACACCACGGAGGGAAGGGGCTGGCAAGGCTTTGGACACCCAGCAAGAGCTGTATTTGCCCCAGCAGGGGTGGGGGGGGGTTTAACCTAGAAAAAAAACCTGGAGGTTTCAGGTTGCCACCAACAAAACTCCCCCTGGGGTTCCCAAATCCTGCAGCCAACGCTTTTCTCCAGCGCTTCGGTTCAGGCGAGTCTCTGCTGTGGCTCCTCCTGGCAGATGGAGACAAATTGATCAGAGAAGCAGGAATTAATGGTTGCCTGGGTGCAAGCGATAATGATCTAATTACTTTTATGAAGTGCAAACAAGGTACGGCCCTGGCCGGTGCCGTGCTGCCTCATGTTGCAGGTGGGCTGCTTTCCCAAACCTGAAAGTGAATAAGCACAAAGGAGAGGAAAAATGTAAGCCAAGCGATGCTGACGGCATTTGGGAGTCAAGGCTAAATCTGTTTCAGTGCTTAAGGAACAGCGACATCGCCCAGTCGTCCTCGGCGGGTCCCGGCAGGCTGAGCTGTGCTCCGGTCACAGAGGAATTAAAGGCTGCAAGCATCAGAAGTGCCACCAAGACAGTGCAATGTCAAGCAAACAGGGTCTTTTATGAGCTTTCAGGGAGATCAGAGATACCGCTGATAACTTGTATTAATAATGAAGGGGTTTGCAAGCTGGAAGTTTTTTTTTTTTCCCCCTGAGTATTCTGATTTAAAGAGTGTTCAGCAAAATCTGAGCTTAACAAAACCAAGGGCTCGATGCGGTGGGGGGGACGGCCGCGTTCTCCTGCAGGGCGTTCCCCGCTCGCTCCTGCAGAGACCTGTTCTTGGCCCACAGCTCTCCATTAGCTTTACCAACCACCTGGAAAAAACAAACAAACAAACAAAAAACCCACCCCACAAGAAACTGGCCTTGGTGGTGGCAGCCGCCCGCTT